CCCCCCCCGAAGCCCCACGCCATGGCACGGCCCCACTCACACTTCGGTGGCCACGGCCTGGATGCCTCCATGGGCCACGAGGGTCCAGTAGCTGCCGGTGTTGGTGTGCAGGCTGCACTTGTTGGTGTCACGGTCGATCTGGAGCTGGAAGGTCTCGTGGTTCAGCTCCTCGTCCTGGTTCGCCGAGACGTTGACGCCTGCAGGCGGGAGCGACCGTCGGTGCTGGCCACGTGTGCCGATGAGCTGCAGCTGCGCTTTCCCTCCCCTGGCCCCTCCCCAGCAGCGGTAAATCCTTCTGCGAACAATCACGCTAATTGGGCTGATTAATCTGATTGCTGCTGCATCCATCTGGTTAGTGCCGCGGTGCACAGCCCCCCTATTTATAGCCTGCCCGCCACCGTCACCCGGCCCTAAGCTGCTTGGCACAGGAGCAGGCGCATTCCCGGTGCCCGCAGGGATGGCAGGGCAGCCAGGGGCATGGCACGGCCACCGCTGCCCGGGCGAGTGGGGTCCCTTAGGGGGGACCCCCACGGGCTCTGGAGGCCGTGGTCCCAGTGCAAGATCTGGCTGTAGGGGCACACAGCCCTGCCCACGCCCTCCTGCCTGCAGCTGCCTGCCTGGGGCTGCCAGACTCAGCCCCGTGCCAGGGGAGGACACACATGTAGCTGTGTGTGCAAACACACGCGTGTACCTCCACGGCTGCGTGGAGCCCTGCACATGCACGGCACCGCAGAGAGCCCCGTGCGTGCCCGCGGCGCTGAGCAGAGCCCTACGCGTATGTACACGCGCACAGCACTGCGGAGCCGTGCACACGCAAACACGTGCGCACGCCACGCTGGGCAGAGCCCCGTACACACGCGCACACGTATGGGCTGCACAGAGCTGTGCACGCGCATGCGCGTGCAGCGTTGTCCATGCACAAACACGCGTGGGCTGCACACGCAAACGCATGCACTGCACGGAGCCCTGCTCACATGCACGTGTGTGTATACACACACACACACCCCCGTGCACACCCATGGAGCCCTGTTCACACACACACACACATGTATACACACAACCCTCCCGTGCACATCCACGGAGCCCTGTTCACACACACATACATGTGTATACACACGCTCCCCGACCCGTGGACACCCACGGAGCTCTGTTCACACACACACGCGTGTGTATACACACACACAAACCCCCGTGCACACCCACGGAGCCCTGCACAGCCCCACTGCTGCTCCCACCCCAACGCCACTGGCCGCAGCCTCCCCTTTGTTGTTATTACAGGGTCTCCTCCCGTGGCGGGGGTCCCAGGGGAGCTCCCACAGAGTCCTTCATGGCTGCGGGTGCTTTCAGCCGAGCCGATCCCCAGGGAATCCCCTTGGGACAGCCGGGGGTCCCGAGGCAGGCAGGGAGCAGGCAGCGGGGTGCGGGCAGCCCTTACCCTGCCGGATGGAGACGTATCTGCCGTTGGCCGCCGTGAAGACCACCTGGGGATGGCTCTCCTCCAGGTCGAAGAGTTCATCTTTGCCCGGCTTGGAGCTGCGGCCGGATTTGAGGGTGCCGGTGGGCCCCGTGGGTGCCAGGTATTTGCCGTCGCAGTCCTTGAAAGCCAACTTGCCCGCCTTGAACTCGAGGGTGTAACCGGTACGGGCGCCGGGCTCGGGCACCAGCGTGCCGTCGCAGCGCAGGTAGCGCTCGTCGGCGGTGCGCAGGCTGTACTTCTTGTCCTGGAAGCAGAGGGTGATGAGGGCGTCCACCCCCCAGGGCAGGTTGCTGTCGGTGGCGATTTCGTCCTCGTGGGCGCTGAGGTGGGCGTAGCGGCGGCGGCTGACGCTCAGCAGGTTGGCCTGGGGGTGCATGGCCAAGTGCACGGTCCAGAGCTCGCCCTCCGTCACGCTGGGGGCGAAGCAGGAGAGCCGATCCTCCCGGCCCCCGAAGAAACGCCGGTGCGGGGCCGACTGCAGCGCCCAGCGCCCGTCCGACTGGGTGATGATGCTGAAGCGTTCGTCCCGACCCGGCTGCTCGGCCTCGCACCGCACCTTCCCGTCCTTGTCGGCACCCAGGTACCGGCCCAGGTGGCTCTTGAGGAAGACGACGGAGCTGTCGGCTTCATCCTGCTCCAGCGTCCAGATCTGCTTGCGCTTCAGGCTGGGCGCCGAGGCGTTCACCTTGTAGCCGAAGCTCTCCGCCGTCAGGTACCGGCTCTCGCAGTTGATCAGCCCGAACTGGATCTTCAGGACCTGGTGGATCCCATTCGTTGGCATCTTCCGCCGGCGTGGGGTGGCCCCCGGGGGGCCGGCGGGGGCTCCCCGGCCCTACCGAGCCCGGGCGTCGCGGCGGGGC